TCTTTCCCTTGGTTTTTACCTATAGATGTAAGTATGTGTAACTGGTAAAATTGTAGACAGGATGTAAAATGATGTATCTAACAATGCACTCTCATCATAAGTAGTTCCTCTGCAAAACCAATAGCTGCAAAATTGCACTGGATTGCCTGCATAAATATTTCCTCTAAAACACAGCTAGCTTACAGTGATTATCTAATTAAGAAGGAACCACTACAGAATAAAATTTTAGGGAGTAATTTACTACTGTTAGCCTTCACCAGCTTCCATACTGTCTTCCCTTCATAACCAACCAGACTTCTCCCCGTGCAGTCTATAAGCAAGAAGGCTTATTTTTGGGTGAAGATGCTCTCAAGCTAGCTCTGTGAGAACCAACCTTGGACCCAAGGGGCTCAGTACAGTATGGAGACCTGGTTTCAAATCAGTACAGTCACATTCATACGCTGCTGCTTCATGGTCCAAGATGATTCATCTATTGGAAAACTCCATTGCTGTAAAGGTTGAACCTGTATGGACAGTGCTAGCAAGGAGATCTTTCACATTGCTCTACTATACAGTGTCAACAAGCCCTTAAGGATTTGAACTGGGGTGCAGGATCCTGGCACCTTAACTCTTTGGGTTTTGTCTATAAATATCCTTTCAGCAGCAGGAACTAATTCAGTTTTCAAGCCACACACTTGCGTTTGTAGGCAAGATCTAAATAGCACCATAATTTCAATCACATTATGCCATTTTTAGTGGTTGTTGAAATTCAAGTTGCATCGATTTTAGTGGACTGGCTGAGAAACTGTATTAGATCAACTTGTTCTCTTCCATTTTAAAGCTGTCTACAGGAAAAGTTTGAATAGGTTCACCACATTGGCTGTAATGAATCCTGCTAAGTGAAAGTAACATAATAATGAATTGACTGGGAAACTTTACCTGAATGTAAACATTTTCTCCTTTCTTTTTTTTTTTTTTTTAAGAGCAAAACTTTTCCCTTGCAATTTCTGTCATTTTCTCATACAGATTAAAACACGTAAGAAGCACTTACAGCATTCTCAGGGATAATACAATTACATGACAACACACACTGCAACTAAAAACTATGCTATACTAATTCTGTGAGTCTACCCTTTTTGGTGATGTTTCACTCCATATCTTTTCCATTTGTAGAAAATAAGCCTTTCAAGGAAGTTAGTCTTCACTCTGTAGCTCCAAGTGGAGTTTTCAAAACTTTGAGAATTCAGTTTCAGTATGAAAATATGACTCGTGTTCATGTGTTCTTGCAGAAAATGTCTCCAAAATACTTTGAGGTTGGAACAATTTCACAGTTTGATTGCTCTTGAATTTTTATGAGGCAAAAGGAAATACTAATTGAATGAAGGTTTAAATGAAAAAGACAGTTTATTGGAATTTTACCTTTGCAAAGTGTTCATAGATTAAGCAGCAGATTTCTTTATTTAGAAGAAAAAAAAATAATGAAGCAAAATGGAAATAATTCCCTGTAGAGTTATAAACACTGCCTCTATGAAAGCAGCTTTACCACAAAAAACACCCAGTTGGAATTTCCCCCATCACAATAATTCAGTGCTTCTCTTCTGCTTGTAATAAATTTGTATCCTATTATATAAAAATTTGTAGGCAAACTGGAAAAGAGATAGCACATTTTTTGTGGAAGTTGTTTGCCTGTTTTCCAGAAAAACTTAAATGCTTTCATGTAAGTTATAAGTGTATAACCCTCTCCTTCTGCCCCTTACAGCCCCTCTCCCATGAGATTTAAAGAAATGGCAAGATCAAGCCAACATTATATAAATCCATCCAACTGATGTGAGTTTGTAGTAATGTCCTTCCCTAAATTGAGCAAAATGACATGCCAGAATGGAAGCAGTTCCAATAGGAGTGTTTAAAAGCAGGAGTGAGTTCTGATTTTGTATGCACATGAAGCTTATAAAAGCCATTCTGCTTTGTTCAGATAATTCAGGAGATCTTCCAGACAGAAAATACAATCGCGTCACTGGAGAGATCCATAAAGGCAAAGGAGTATCCACTTAAGGTTGCGCAGACGCGATTAGAGGGAAGAACTAAACGACCCAATGTAGAACTTTGCCGGGATCCACCTCAGTTTCAGTAAGTAAAAGCCAGTTTTATACTCACTGAGCCTTGTTCTCTCTCTTTCTCCCTGAAGATCTATTCCACAGAAACATCTGCAGCACTATGGTTAATATCAGTTCAGTCAGCAAGATTACATGTATCCAAGATATAAAACCTGTTTGATTTAGGATCAAAAGTGCAGAACGTCACGTTATCCCTTCTTCCTGCAATTGCCAGTGATGCTGTTTATGGTCCAGAGGGTCCTGTCTAAAAAAGTTTGGAAGCTTCATTTGAAGTCACTAGAACATCAGAATGTCTTTGAATATTTTCTTCAATTAAAGTGAAAGGATGTTAACATGACATGCCTAAAACCAAGAAGTACACAGGGGTTCTGATCCAATCTAATTCCTACTCGCTTCTAGGTTATACAAGAGCTTCTCAAGCTGTTACACAGCTATTGGGAAGTATTATAGGCTTAACATACACACAAGTTTTCTGTCAGTCTAATGTGATTTCTAATATTTTAACCGAAACATTTATACAAGTACACTGTTTACTAAATGTAGTTATACTGACAGATAGTCAGCATATCCTGTTCTCCTTCCTCCAATACATACGAATTTTGGTCTACCACGGTTCTAATCCAGACCAGGTTATGTCAGGTGCTTTAGCTGATCCAAACCACTGAATGTTAAGTTCATCATAACTGCAATTAGAAATAGAAATTCTGACAGGGTATTTGAAATTTGGACACTTTTTTCTATCACAGTTTTTGGCTGAGCTCACATCTCAAATAAAATGTATTTAGAGACAAAATCCTATCTGGGAAAGTAAAACCATTTGCTAATACACTTAAATTATTTAAAAGCGAAAAATTCTTAAAGTATATTTCTCTCCATATATAAACCATATATATGTGGTTTAAAGGAAGAAGGAATTCAGCCCAAAAGCTCAACTGTAATAGGGGAAAAAAATTTAAAAAAAAATCACATGAACCAATTCTTTGTAACATGTAAATGTTATCCGAGTTTGCTGTTTATTTAAAAGGAAGTGCTGATGTTGGCACAGCACTTGTTCTGTGTGTGCTGCCAACTTTGTAGTTGAAGGGATTAGACAGAAAACAATATTAATAAAGTCTAGTTTTTCTGTGCTGAAACAACTGGGATTATCCCAAAACAAGTTAAAGTGGATTCTGGAAAAAACAATCTTTCTTATAGTCTATAGCGCACCGAGCAATTAATAGAACATCAGACAAAATACAAAGTTGACAGCATTAAAGAGATTACCAGCTCAGTAACTTTACAAGATTTACCACATCTGCATTGATAAACCACTGGGAGAAATGTGGCTAATATCAGCTCACAGATGATCTTGACTTCAGAGCTCCACACTCAATGGTTATGCTGGCAAGTGATTCTTGTTATAAGTAACATGCTTCTGCACCAAATCTAGACTATTTAGCACATCCTGCTACACAAGTTTTAGCTATCATGAACTACACCAACACCATCCAGGAACATCCATCCCAAACGTATTCTACAGGACCATAATGCAAGTGCTCAACACAGCCATGCTAGCCCTAGAGAGGCTGCAAGTGAAGATGACAGCAATTAGAAAGATGCAAGCTAGTTTGGTAAATAGGTTTCATACTGATTCAAAGACATTTGTTCAAATCCTGCCTGAAAGTGTGACCTGTCCACTGTCAAAAAAGGAGTGTGGTGAGGGACTACTAAAGTTATGGGAGCAACCTGTCCCCTTCTCTTTTTTCAGGCTTGTCACTGAAGTTTACACTATAGATGACACTGTACAGACCTTAAAGCAACGCCTGCAAGAAGCTCGTGATACTCTGCATACACTGCTCCTCGACAAATCAAGACTGGAACACGAAGTTGCCGTGAAGACGAACTCCTTCTTCATTGACAAGAAGTGTATGGACATGCGTAAAACCTTCCCAAGCACCCTACGGCTCATCGGCTACACCTGAGTAACAACCTTTGATATCTTAGCATGACATAAAGATTGCAAATACTTTCTAAAGGAAACTATTATTATTCTGTTTTCTGAAAAAATGAAATCCTACAGAAATAAACTAATTAAAGTTACTATCGTGCCTCTTTCCTTTGAGCCTCGTATTCTCAGCTGTAGCTGCTACTAATTCATACAGAATTAGTTGACTTATTCTAACAGAATCAGACCACACTAAAATAACCAGACAAGTATTGCCAGACATACATGAGTTACTAGCTAGAGAAAACATTAGGCTGAAATGCTGTACTTCGACAGAATTAGTACAATACAGGATTTCACTGGTCAGGATAATGTGTCATCTGTGTTTCAGTCCTTGTCTGGAAAAGTCCAGTTTAAATGCTTACCCCATCCTTACACTCCTCCTGCCTAGAAATGCTAGACTTGGTGTTTGGAATCAGAGGAGGTTGAACAAACTTGATTCACAGAAACTGAAGGGCAATTTCAGTGCAACCACTTCAGGTATACATGCAGCCTGTACTCACTGAGAGGGGATCTTTGCATCCCTGCTTCTTTTTGTCTCTCTAATTTGATTTTTCATAGAATTAAGTATGAAGAAAATTTGTCTATTTATATGAATGATTTGTGACTGACGTGATATTTGCTTAAATCTGAAAGGTCTTAACTATTTAGACATATTAATGTATCTATCATTAGATCTCGAAGGACTTAATAAGCAAAGACAGTACTATTGCTCTATTGGGACTAATAAGAAAGTTAAGACAAAATGAGAACAGAACCAATGTACAGGAACATGATGCACTTAAAGTGCACTGAAACTGTCCTTCAGTCTGTAGCCAAGATTGCTTGGCTTTCTAGTTCTAAACGGAGCACTACACTGTATGCTGGACAGAAGGATAGAATAGGCTTCGAGATCTCACTTTTCTGCATCACAGTTAAAACACATTAACAGTGCAGTAATCCTAGTAAAGGATTTGAAGAACAACTAGTTTTAACTAAGATAAAACAGTCTGACTGTTTGGGACAAAATGGAGTACTAATGTTTTACTGTTATTTGTGTTCCTTCCTGGATTTACTCTCATTTACAGAGTAACCAGCAAACTACAATTCTAATAACTGAGCTGTTTCCTGGTACCTCAGGGTCCTCTGTACAGGGCAGCTCTATGAGCACACAAAATGCATTTTACATTGGATCAAAGCCAAATCCGAAACAATGTTAGATTTGAAAGTCTCCTGAATAAACTGGCTCTGTTCCTTACCCTTTGTTTTGTGTGGGTGGTGGCTTAATCTAGCTACCAGCAAAAGTAACACTGCTGAGGCACACCGGGCTGAGCGGTGCTGATACTTCCTTGTGAGTTAACCTCAGTTTTCACTGAGCACGGCTGTGGCTGAGCCATCTTACACTCAATCTCCCTCCTTTAGTTAAAAAAAAAAAATAAAAAAATAAAAAAAGTGGTTTGACACAATAGCTATTTACACAGTGATATGTTTCTAAAGATTTAAATCATGGGAAGCCATTTTGGAACACAGTGATATCCAGGCCTACTTCTGATACTCATTAACCCTATCTCACAGTGACTACACTGCATCTTGATTTTCTAGATGAGGATAATGCCATAGTCATGATGCACATGACTAAGCAAGCTAATGCCAAATGGTGGCTTTTGGGAAGGAAATTTCTCCAAATACAGGGAAAATTCCAGAAATAATTTCTTTTTAATATTGCAATATATGACTGCAGAGCAGTTCAAGGAGTCCTGGTGATGTGCCACTAGAGATAGGAGGAGCTCTGCTACTGAAGACTTCACTGGTAATCTGGTTTGAATTAATAGTCATACCTTTCTGTTTCTTGCTCAGAAAGACTTCACAACAAACTTCACAGAAGACATAGCACATAACTTTAGGTGGGAGGAGTGAGGAATCTCACTGTTTTGTTTCCCAGCAGGGAAGACTCTTACCACTTGCAACATTTCTCTCCCTCTCCATGCCTTTGTATGGAGGCCAGGGAGATGTTATCACTTGCTTCTGTTACTACCAAATCATAGAATAAAGCCCTTGATTTGCATTTCATATACACTTTTTACAATGTATGAAGAATAATATTTGTGTTGAGCTGTTAAATATTGACAAGAATCCAAACCTATTTATCAAATACTGACAGCTGACCAAGCAGAGGAGTAAAAGTTACTTGGAAATTTGAATCTTGCAGCCTTAAAATACATTTCTAGAAGTTGGAGGCTTTCCCAGTTCACACAGCTACTCTAATAGCTAGAAATAGTTTCTCCCTTCCTTATGCCAAGAACTCAATTAAGAAATACACAGCAGAAGGGAGGCACTTCTAAGAGCTGAATTCTTCTAACAGTTCTTGACAAAAGAAGAAAAAAGGAGGAAAAATAAAATAATCTTTGTCTGAAAACAACGGACATCAGTGAAAAGCCAGCCTGAATCAAAGCCCTGAATTTGAAAATTTGAGGACTTTGGGATGGAGATGGCGGGGCTGAACAATAGTTCTGAACATCAGAAATTCCAGCTCCTTCCTGACTGTGCCTTTGTTCTGCAATGTTCTCTAAGACCTTGGCTCTGCTTTTGGGTGGAGTACTTACTTGGTACATTGTCAGTGCAAACAACACTGAACTTTTCTGAATGCAGTATGAACTCCTACTGAGAGTGACTGCCCAACACCACGGATCTATGCAGTTAGTACTGTTCTTTGAGAGCATCATTTTGCACAAGAACAGTTAATTCCCTGAGAATCAGTTAATATCAGCAAGAATAATTTTTTACTGAGTACTGCAAAAATGTACTCTGCAAAAATATTCTTCTTCCTTAACTATAACTGACCAGAAGTTACTAAGTATATTATCCTAGTGAGGGAAAAAAAAAAACCCTCAGTGAAGGAAGTGCTTTTGTTTTTCATTAGTGGTACCCATACATGCAGCACATTTCAGTTTGCTGATAATGTACATCCTCCTTTTAAAAGGAAATAGTTTATCAAAAAGGAGAAGACTTCCACAGACTTAGGCTATAAACCTATCTAAATCCAAAAAGGCTACAAATAAGTCACCATGTGCTTCTTAGATAAGTCAAAGTAAATGGATAATGCAGAAAACCTGGATTGTAGTCTTGTTCTGCCACTGATTTACTGCATCAATGAATTTACACTCAGCCTCCAGAATGCAGTTAATCCCAGTTGTGATGGGAGTATGTCAAAGGAAACACATACTAACAAAGATACCCAGATAAACCTGAGAATCTCAAAAAAACCCCACCCGATAGAATATAAATATTCTTTCAGCTTTTTTCCATAGATCTCTCTTTTTATGAACTAGATCATTAATTATTGTACTCACATGCAGCCAGACATCAAGAAGCCAGATCTACTGTATTTCCATGTATAAAATCAGAAGTTTAACATGCAATTCCATAATATTTGAAAGATAAGATCTGTTTTATAGCAAATAGACTAATGCAGAAAAGACCAAAACCTGTCCCTGCCTGTTTCAAACAATGAGATAATTTTAGTTCCAGACAAGCTATTTCCTAACATTATCTAAACTATAGCTCATAAAAGTTTATGGACTCAGCCTCCAAATGGAGTAAGAAAACAATGGATCTAAGTATCTTCACTAACAATAATCCCAGTTCAGTGCCACAAGGTTAGTGATTATAGTGAAAGTAGATTATTTTACCCAAATCTAGTAGTAGTTTATTCCTTTAAAATAAAAAAATCACAGCAAGGAAATAGAATGTGTCATGTACAGATTAAATGCCTTGCCACACAGAATTTACAGATGGCATCCCCAGTCAATATATGTGATGGTGCCCATATGACAAGTCTTTTCAGTATAGCTTCTCACCTGGGTAAGACCTGGCACGTGCTTTCAGCACAGGATATTAAGGTGTAAATAACAGGAGACAAGAAATATTAACTATGGAGACAAAAGAGTGCTGAGTTTGTGAATTTGTATTTAAATATCACAACAGGTTGATAATACAGTTGAGCAATTAGACTTTTTCATAACATTACTGTGTTTTAATTTTATTAAGAGGGATAGCAGGGTAGGCACCTCTCAGCACCTGCTTTCCTGAAGTGGTGCATCCACCCTTCTCCCTGAGGAAGCCACCTTCTAAAATCTTGCTCATCCCATGCATCAGCTTGGAAGTTTTTAACCAGAAAACATTGCTTGTTCCCTAGTATGGGGAAACTAAGTATTAGCTACTTGGAAAAACAATAATATCTCAGAAGACTCATTTCTGAAACAATATTGATTTCAACCATTTCAAACCAGTGTCCTTAGGCCTTTTAGATTTGAATCTAGGCACAGTTTGAACTCTTACACTTCCCCAATCTATGCGACTGCTTTTGCCTCAGAACATGACCGAAGCTTACTTTTGTACAGCAGTAACACACAGGAGCCCCAAGAGATCTTTACTCCATATAGACAATGTCATTATCATTAGTCAAAACACAGTATAACAATACACTTACACAGAAGTGCTCAGAATCAGTGAGTCCCCTGGAACTGTCAATGACTGCAGACAGTGTGAGCCCCAGGATCGCGTGGTCAATATAACAGATCTACAGATTAAAAATTATTTTCTGGGATTTCCCCCCACCCCCTAGAAATTCCAGGCATGAATTTAAAGCATTATGATCATGCATTTCCTTAATACAATGCAACTCCTGATAACTTTTGGAAATAACGGCAAACTGCATGCATCTAAACTACATTCAGCAGAGGTGAGATCTCAAATTTCTACTTCTTTCAATCCTGATAAGAGAATTTTCTGTTAGATGATCAGGTTTTTAACTCACAAGCAGCTATGATACATGCTTGTCACTACACACAATGGTTTTGGCTCATTTTCTTTCATCATTGTGAGAGAAAGCATATGGGGCAACACATTCTATAGGAGAGGTTCATGATAACAGGACAACTGCAATACAGTAGAAGTAGATGTATCAGTGACAAACAAAAGCAAAAGCAGACGGCTCTA